ATGTATGAATCATCTGGTGAAAAACTGACTGAAAAATGAATCTGTTCTTTTTTTCTTATAAAAGACTAAATAAAACAAAAATGTTGGTGGTAATTTTTGACTGTGTAACTTTACAAACAGCAGCCCATACTTCAGGAACATCGTGTTGTTCTACAAATTATCTTCTCGCCCAGATCGGTCGGTTTGGTTCCCGAGCCAGAAGGAGCTGGTTTCTACTCGTTTACACTGATAAACCAGTTTCAGTCCTGATCACTGCAGACTCTGTTCTTTTACACAGAAACTAAACTCCTGGATACTAAACTGTGCTGAAAACACATTTTAAACAGATTTTAGTTTTATATTACTGATACCATTTTACTTTCTTTAACATTAAATTTTTAAAATGTTTTTTTTAGATTCTATTAAAACATGACAGCATGAAACCTATCATTTTTATACTACTTTTATTTTCTTACCTAAAACAGTGAGTTTGGTTCCAGGTCCAAAGTAAGCAGGTTCGTAGTTGGTCACACTGACAAACAGCTGCATAAAAAACTGAKCCAGTTTTCAGCACATCTGTCTGCCTTTTTACACACAACTTTGCCACTTTTATTAACAAATAAAAACTAACGAGTTTAGAAAATAAAAGCTCTTCTACTCTTTGAAATTGTATCTGGACRTATTTAAATATATACGTATCTTTACAGTCAAATTTTCTTTACTAAACCTGTTCCCGCATTCGATTAGTATACATTTTCTWTCTTTTTATCTTTTCTCATGTAAAACAGTGAGTTTAGCTCCAGTGAAATAAAWATATTCAGTGTTTCACAGAACACTGAGAGGAATAATCTGGGCTCAGAGCCAAATAATCTGAAAATTAAACACTTTTCCTGGAGAGCAGATGCTTGCTTTTACAGCCACTAAAAACATTTAAGTGAGCTTTTTATTTTTACTTAGTGCTCTTTGTCATTATTTTAATGTCTAATTATTTGACTCTATCAATCCAAGCACACATAAAAGCAGAGAATGTGCCCAAGCTCCCTTTTTGGAGGATTTCTTACCTAAAACAGTGAGTTTAGTTCCAGCTCCAAAATAAGCCTCGTTATAGGAGCACAGAGACTCCAGACTGGAACAAAAACTCTCTGAAAATACTTGGACTCTGTCACTATTTGTCCTGGAAACACTAACTTTACAAACCTTATTAAATATGCTTTTAGATTTAAAGTCATTGCTTTTATTTCTCCACACCTGATAAACGTTTTGAGATGTTTTCTTACCTAAAACAGTTAACTTGGTTCCTCCACCAAAGAAAGCCTCTGAAGTACCAGAGTCACAGTGAACATAATCATAACGTGAAACAGCTGATTCTGTTTTACAACTTTACTCTTTACATCTGGAATAATTACAACTTTCCTTTAAATTTAAAGCTAACAGCTGCTAGGCTAAGTAAAATGTCGTTTCATCCACTAAAATAACATCTCTCTGTAAGAAACATGTCTGACAAACATTTTGTCTTACTTACCAAGAACAGTTAGTTTGGTTCCCTGAGCGAAGTAAGCTTCGTACTGACACAGAGTTTACTCTTCAGAACAAAAACTGAGCTGAAACTTAAAGGAGCTTCAGAACACGGAGTTCGTTAAAGATCAGGTCGATTCATGCATCTTACCTAAAACAGTTCATTGTGTTCCTCCACCRAAGGAAGCTTCAGAACCAGAGTTAAAAATATACCAGTGCTGTGATTTTACAGCTACAGATACTCGTTTTTAGCTGCTGTTAGGTGTTTTTAGCATTAAATAAAGACACTTACCCAGAACAGTCAGTTTTGTTCCCTGACCAAAGAAAGCTTCATAAGCACCAGAGGCACAGTGTTCATGATCAGTGCTCCAAACAGACCATCGGCTACTTTTCATCTCCTCCTTTAGCTGCTTCTTTATTTCTGTTTCTGACTCTTTTTCATAAATTATCTAAAAGCTACAAAACTCTTCTTCAACTCTCTTTCACTCAACAAAAAACTCAGTTTAGGTTGAAGAACAAAGAGATCTGTCTCCACAGCAGATGTAGGAACAAAACATTTCTTACAGAAACCAAAGGTTTTCATTTGTTTTGCTTTCTTACCTAAAACTGTTAACTTTGTTCCAGCTCCAAAGTAAGCTTCGTTAAAACCAGAGGCACAGTGTTCATGATCAGTGCTCCAAACAGACCATCGGCTACTTTTCATCTCCTCCTTTAGCTGCTTCTTTATTTCTGTTTCTGCCTCTTTTTATACATTATCTAAAAGCTACAAAACTCTTCTTTAGCTCTCTTTCACTCAACAAAAACTCAGTTTATGTTGAAGAACAAAGAGATCTGTCTCCACAGCAGATGTAGGAACAAAACATTTCTTACAGAAACCAAAGGTTTTCATTTGTTTTGCTTTCTTACCTAAAACTGTTAACTTTGTTCCAGCTCCAAAGTAAGCTTCATTAAAACCAGAGGCACAGTGTTCATAAGCAGAGTTAAAATCATCCCAGTGCTCTGATTTTACATGCTAACATTTAGCTGCTGTTGGATGTTTTCAG